TTAAATTATGCAGCTAATTTGCGAAATGCGACATATGAGTATAAGTACTGTGTAAATGGCCACGCGGAATTACTTAATAGGTAAAATTACTACGCTTAGATAAGTATCAAACATTACCGAATGTTGCCTTATGGTATTAATGTTTTTAGCTGAAACATTTTTACAAATCAATGCATTAACAAATCATTTTACAAAAATTGACAAAAGTGTTACTCTAAGCAATCAATCCGGATCGTTTTACCTTTTGCGTCCTTTCGGTAGAAGACAAATGTTATTCTTTGCGCAAAATGCCGTAGCTTCACGCGCAACACCCTTTTTAAACACAAGAACGAGTTGTAGAGTCCACTGAAAAGAACCAACAAATGCAATAAACGCCCTTAAAATTAGATACAGAAGCTTGGACCACGGCGTAGGAATCGTTTGTTTACCTCAGAAATGTCCAGTTCTTTGATCGTAAGGTTGACAGAATTACGAAGATCGTCTTTGGATGGTATTGGTGGCTTTGGTGGAGGTGTAGGGGTTGGTTTCTTCTCTCCAGTGGACAGTTCTTAGAATTGCAAGACAGAGATTGTTTAGATATGGTATAAAGGCGCTAAGCCCTTACAAAAAAAAAAAAAGAACACAATGGCTTCGCTATGTTTGATTGCGAAACCAGTGCTCTCAAAAATAACTGATCAAAGATGCGAGATATGACAGCAATTATTTTTAAGTTTTGGACTATACATTCCACTATATTTTTATGAAATGTGACATAAATTAGCCGATAGATTTTCAGCTGGACTCGGTGCATTTTTCTTACCACGGCATCTGTTGTCAATCAAATATAAGCCTTCCTGACATCTACAATTGTAGGACCCAATGGTGTTTTCACATCGCAGCGAAGCTGAACAATTGAAGGTCCATTCGATGCATTCGTCGATATCTGCAAAATGTGATTGTAATGCTACTATATCAAACATCCATGACTCGATAAATTTATTGATTTCTGGTCGAATCTCTACAATTTGATTTACATGCAACTGTATCAAAAGTCTATGACTCAATGGATTCATTGCTATCTAGTCGTATCTCTAAGAAAAGACACAATGAGTTTCACTATCAGCGCTATACATGTATGTTTCTATAACTCACCAACACACGTCACATTGTCAGCACTGAGACGAAATCCTCCAATGCAGCCGCAATTATAGCCGCCTTCCTTATTGTAACAAAGCTGGTTACATCTGGCCTTTCCTTCATTGCATTCATCGACATCTAATCAACATAAATCCCCAGATTACAAATACTATTATGTCGTTCTCTCCTAGGCGAATATTAAAAAAAGCAGTAAAATAAGCTGGGTCGTAATGAGGAAAAATATCTAACAATCAGAACAAGCTAGTAATACTCGAAATACAAGCGCTGATATCAGAGAATAGCAAATTCGTGCAGCCATGACAAAAGACAATATTATTGCTGTACCTTCGCATGACTTTTTGTCTGACTTTAGCTGATATCCCATACGACATGCGCATGTAGCTACGTCATTAGACTCAAAGCAAACATCTTGGCAACCATGACTTCCATCTTTGCACGGAAACTTAGCTAAACAAACAAACAAACGCAGAAAAAGAAATATATAAATCTTATATCACATAAAGAAAATAAATCCAATTAAAAATACCAATAAAACTCAACTAACGGATGCATTTTTTTGGATCAGAAAGGTCCACTTTGAAGTCACTGTTGCAACT